GTCATCTATGCTTACTTTCAACAGTTCCTTTAATCTACTTTTTTGGAGTTTTAAATCAAACTCTCCCACTTTTTCCTTTCACATTTGATGTATTTCCTTGCAAGCCAGGGAAACTGATTCTAACTCAGGAAAAGATATGAGTGATTAGAATCTAATTTCTCCTTACAACAATGCCCCTGAATCACACATTAAGGTCACGAGAATAAAGGAAATGACCATTAACTAAAGAAGCTCTTGATTTTTAAACAGATTCTTCTTTTCAGCACCTTAGGAAAGGTGTAGAGAACAGTATAGCAACTATGCATATTGACATTTGGGTGTAAAGGGTTTATGGAATCATGATTTCCCAAGAAAAACAGTGACCAACCACAAATTCACTCTTCTTTTACCCTCATTTTACCAAAGTCCAATCAGAGACCTCATGGTGTACCTGGTAGAGTAGAAGTTAAGCCAAGAGGAAAATCTCCAAATGCTTTTGTTATATATTTTTCCCGGGTAGTTTACCACTTAACCCCATTTGATGACAATGCATCCAAGCTAATTTAGAGTGAAGTTACCAGAGAAAACTTTTTGATACGGACAGAATACCCAAACTTACATTTTTCCGGTGTATTCATTCCAGGGGGAGCAGTTGGAGCAAGCAGCATATTGATGATAAGACCACAAAAAATTCACCCAAAGCCCCCAAAAGGAGTGGTTATTGCGATATTGGTGAACCTTCAAGGAGTAAATCTTCAAAAAACTGCACTGGCTGTGGCCCAATGCTTTGAGAGAACTCAGCAATAATCATCACTTTGGAAAATTCCATTGGTTGGTCACATCTTATGACATGGTATGACGTCGCAGTATTTTTTCCCAAAGATTTTATTGCTAACAAAGGGTATATGAATAAGAAAATATATACACAATTATTATACTTTGTTACAGCCGTTATCACATAATATAATTTGCTAAGATGACATTATTGACTGAAATTAAAAAAATTATGAAATATCTAAGGTTCAAAGGTTTTGTAAGACAACCTTTACAACAACAACTGCATCCTGACCTCCCTCTTTATGTCATGATAACAACTGTAACTTGTTTTTTTAACACCACTAAGAAATCTTGAAAATTTTTAATGTTTTGGTGAAAAATAAGAAAGTCAAAATTTACCCTGTGTTCTAGGTACTTTTATAAGTTTTAAGAGATATTATAATTGTACAGAGTGATTTAGTGTTGAAACTTGTGTTATTCACTAACAAAATTAATCTAATAATAAAAATAATTTGATGTGTCAAAGAAGTTGATACATATTGCTTTTGGAAAGTAAAATAATCAAATACATTAAAATTGATATTGTAATAAGCATATGGTAAAAATATAGACATAAGACACCTCACATTAAAAATTTTATAACAGAGACAAATATTTTCACAAAAATTCTTCATGTCACACAAAGGTAATTTTTGTTCCAATCATTTCCTGCACCTTCACACCTATGATTACCTTAGTGTACTCTGGCATTAAAAAGGATTCACAACTTTACTCTGCTATTAGTGAAGTCACAAGTTTCCTGTCTCCAGTCCATCCCATCCTTCCATGTAAAACCTGTTGATTATCTAGTACAGCAACATCAAATGTCCGCCACCAAAATCCCACTGCATAGGACCACATTACTTCACGAATATGCTGAAGGACCTCAGGTTCAATATCAGATCCATCACCATAGTAACAGTGAAAGGGGAATTGATCATCTTTCATACTATCACCAGTATTTTCATACAGAGGGAGAGCTCTGAAATAGCTTGCATTATAGCTTGTTATTTGATTAAACCATATCTTCTCCCCAGTTATGGGGTGTTGTATGACAGGTGAATTAAGGTACCAGTAGCGAAGATTTTTCCCCTTGTCCCAAGAGTAGCTCCATCCGTTTAATTCAAGAATTGTTTGCACCTCCTATTTAAAACAAACAAGTCATTCAAAGATGAAATTCACATGGCACTCAATTGCATGCATCTACATTGTAAAGACACAACCTTACAACCTGCATTTTTGATTGATCACTGTCCAGTTAAACAAAACTTATGATGCTGTAACCTCTATGGTGTAGCCTGCCAAGGAGTTCTCTGTATCCCAGCAGGAAATGCATCTGGCCAACCAACTGGTGTTAAATTCTCATAGTGAATTCAGACTTTTCTGTATCCCCTAATTGTGATGAATATTCAAAATCTTTCTTAAGTGTTTTCTAAAATTGATTATCTTAGAATGTTGGAGAAACAATTCTATGGTGTAGTCTGATGTTATGGATGAAGGGGATCCTATGATTTACTGTTAATCAAAATTTTGGCAAGCTAGGTGTCTGTACCAAATGCATTATTGTACAAAATTAATTCAACAAAACAAAGGACCTTGGACAAAACATCTGAAAAGGAATTTTAGCAAACCTTGGGATCATCCATCCAGAATCTATCTTGCCAGCTCTTCTGAAGTCCAGCTCCTGTGTCTTTGTTTGGGAGAAAGGCTTGATAGCGAATCTTCTTTGCCTCAAACTTTTGAATCACTTTGGGATCCAAGGAGGCAGTCAAATCTTGGCTTTTCAGGAGAACAGTTTCACCGCCACAAGATGGGTTAGGTTCTCTTAAACAGAACATCACTATCTGAAAAACGGGATATTTATATACTTTAGTTCACCTTTGTACCATATTGGTGGTTTGAGGTTACAAGGAGTGTTTTTTTTTTTGGAACAGAAAGGAGTCTGCTGTTAAGTTACCCCTAAAACTCTTTCTTTCAGATTACCTAAACAGTTTATTTCTACCCACTTATTCCATTAGATGGAGAGGGGCTCTCCAAAAAAAAAAGATTCTTGCTCAAAAATAAATGAAAAGGACCCACTTTAATTAACACATAATTTGCACACGTACCACAGATAAAGACTATTATTACTACAACACAAAACGTGACCTTATGAACATACCTTCTTTGGAAATAATGGTGAATAGGAGCATTCATTATGTGGTTCTATAGTAACCTCTGGGGGGTCATCTGAGGCTGTGTACACATGCCCCCCCAATGGGGTCCTATAACCTGTAACTCCATGTTCAAAAAACTTAAAGTTGAGGTTCTGAAGAAAATTTTGGAAATCGCCCATGCTACTAAGTGGAAGATTCCTAGTAAAATGAAATGTAGATAATAGAACTTCAAGTCTCAACCCAACCTGATAAAACAAATGGTATTTAGTGCTGTACTCTATATATTAATGATTCAATGAACAAGTAGAAATAAGAAATATTGAGGTAATAGTAGTTATTCTAATTCTAGCTATATTTTTCAAAATGTGGCTTCTTAACCTTCCAAAGTTAGAGGGTGTGGGAAAAGAGCTGGACACGGTCATTTCCGGGAAAGAAACCAATGAAATGACTAACGGAATGCCACCAAAATAGTGAAAACTGTTTAGGAAGACCGATACAGAATGGGGAAAACAGGGTTATTATAATTGTTGTTATTACCACCATCATTATGATTGTTACTCATTGGTCATTTGAGTTGCCTCATATTAACTACATGTGCGTACGATTCTATGGGGTGTGATTCATGAATAGTTGGGAACCTCAAAGTCAGTAGAAAGCTTCATTTAAGAAGCCTAACAGATTTTACTCTCACAGGTTTTTTTTTAAGTTTTTCTAGACCTCACCGTTCACAGTGTTTAACAGTATTCCAATCAATTTAAATAAACACGCCAACCAAAAGACACATTTCATTGTGCACGATCTGGAAATTACCTTATGAGAATTGCCCCATGAATGGCAAGCTCTTCGTCAATGAGCTGACGGCATACGAGTGACCAGCCTTTGACATCATACTGCTGAGAGTTTTTTACTTCATAAGCCTTCGGGAATGAACTACCCTCTTGAGGTCCAGGAAGAAATTCTGGGAATCCTCCAGAAGTTGAACCAGGTAGATAAGGTCGCCCTTTAATTTGAGGATTATAGCCAAGAGCTAATTCTTGAAGGGGAATGGGAGAAAAATGGGATGTACTTGTCTTAATGTCATCATGTGATCCTGCATGGGTGGAGAAGTTATACTTTGACCAACTTCCCAGCCGCACTGTATGATTATACCATGGCCAGCCGGTTGAAATCCTGGATGAGCCGGTTTTTAATTTTGTTAGGTTTCTTGGAAAAGTTGAACCAAGCATCTCGAAGTGATCAAACTGGAATTTGACACAGTTTTAAGTTAATACTAATAGGCTTCATTGAAAATTCCATTTCATTCCATATTCCCCAGTCCTCATTCCCTAACGTCCTTTCTCTTACTCAACTTCCTAATCCCTACTTCCTGGATTAGGCACACATTTCAACAAAGCGATTGCCATAATGACTTCTTCCGATGCCGAAAGGACTTAAGGTTACCGTGCAC